ATTTAAGTGGTCAGCCTTATCTCCACCATGAAATTGCTTTCATAAAGGTCACCAGCGAGTTTCATCTCTCTGAACATTACCATCTGCTCCTGCTCTGCTTACTCACCAGTCCGAAGCATTTGATAGCATTTGCTCTTGCTCCCAGCAGAACACCTTCCATGACTTTTCCTCCCTCTCTTCCTCCCTCCCTCCCTCCCCCCTTCCTCTCTCACTTCTTTCTCCCGCTTTCCAGTTCCCACTCGGGTTCCAGCCCAGGGTTCTCAGCCAGGACCCGTTATTTTGTATCTATATAAACTACCCAGGGTCATCCTAAAATCTGAAATGGTATATATTCAAGCTTTTTGTATTACTCATAATTTGTAGTATATGTTCTAAGTGCCTTAACATAATAGTTACAGATCTTTGAGGCAGGGTCTCACTGTAGCTCAGGCTGGCCTTGAGATGACAGTGCTCTTCCTAACTCATCCTTCCAGGCATTGGGATTACAGGTATGAGCTTCATGGCTGGTTAAAACTTAGATGTACTAATCTACGTGGTTAACTACAAGTTCTCCAATGACAGACTCTCTAGAGTATCTTGTTTCTGCCACCCGATAAGTCTGTCTGAACCGTGTTGTGGGGATGGCCAACCTGGAGAAAGCACTATAAGCTCCATTTCTGATTTTACACAAGTACATAAAAACATAGTTTTACAAGATTTACCACGATTTACACTCAAATAACAAGTATCACATACAAGTCATTGAGCCTTAAAATCTTGAAACTCACAAGTTAGAACGGTCATTTTAGAGCTTGTTGCATGGAATAAAAGTGCTCTACACAAAAGTGGACAATAAGCCAGCTGAGTGGTTCTTCTGTTCTAAGTTTTGATGAGATAAAAAGCAAAATCCTTACATTTTTCCACTGGAGGTTTCTCACGTGTCCAGGCTGGTCACTGGGAAATCTCCATTCTAACTTAAAGCCAAACAAATGACAACTAACAAGACTCACAGCGTTACTGAGAAAGGGCCAAGGAAACTGTAGCCGACTTTGGGCTGACAGCTGAGGAGTGTGCACCTCTTCACCTGTATTACAGGCCAGTAGCTCAGAGCCATGATCAGTATAAACCTGGAACAGCCTCATTTCAAACAGAGCCAACTGCCACCATATGGATTCCAGTGATTGGTCCTCACAGTTCCCTGAACCTTCTGTCAGGGAACTTCTGTCTGCCCCATCTCACCAGGAGGAGGCAAAATGAAAAGATTAAACTACCCAAAGCTACCAAGTAGAAGCTAAATCACGCTCTTTTACACCTGTCTCTGGTCTGAGCCACTGCTATGTGATGTTTGGTAAGTACACTCTTTCACAATTACTTAGGAGATTTTTCAAAGTGAGGCTCCAAGATCTTTGAGGATTTTTCTCTACTTGGGTTAAGAAGCCTCAAGGAACAGCTCTGCACCAAATTGCTTCTGAACACACAGATATGAGACATGCTTTGTGAATTTTAAATTAGCCAATAGACCTCACTTTGAAAAGTCTCATAGCTGATCAATAATAGACAACAGAATGCACAGTCCAGTTTCAAATGAGGCAAAAACTATAGTAACAGATACTGAAGGATGTTCTTTTCCAAATAAGAGAGAATGAAGTGTCCACAATCTTTTTACTGTCCACTGAAAACTACAGACCTGGGGGTGGGGGTGGGGGAGGGCCTGCTGCTGCAGAATCAAGGACATAAAGATTCAGCATCTAAAAACCCAATGTATGATACACAGACAGTGCCCATCTGAACACTAAAAAAGAGTAAAGCCTAATATTAACATTTTAATATTAAAATATTAAAAGCCTAAAGTAAGACTAAAAAGATAAGCATTGTAATCATCAACAGGATCCTTTCGCTGATGGGTGGTGCATGCCTCTAATCCCCAGTGAGGCTTCAGTGTCACTGTGGGGCCCACATCTACTACTGTTAACACCTGTTTTGGTACAGGGCTGAAGCTAATGTAACAAGAACTGGGTAGAGACAACCTTCCATCACATGACTTCTCTTTACTGGGAACAGAAGTCATTTTCTGTGCAGTCTGCAGATGTTATCCTCACTTCCTTTAGCACATATCATCGAGATGCTCTGAAGAGGTCACTGCTACTGCACTGCTAGTCAGGCAGACCAGAAGAACAGACTGGACACACACCTCCAGTTATGAGCACTGGTTCAAACAGACTAAAGATAAAGGTGGCTTATATTAGAGAGCAACCGGATCTATTCCTGTTTTCACATGGCCACTGACTCTCTGTTACTCACGCACTAAAACAACATTCACAATTGCAAGGTCTATCCTATGTGCAGTTTTCTCTCTGCACAGAAAACCTGTGTGAAGGACAGCATACAACATCAAGCCCTGCTCCTCTTCACTGTTAATAAGAGCAGCATTTCCATGTGCATGTAGAAGACTCCACCTCTCTCGAGGCTGCCTTAGCAAGGGGCAAAGCAGGCTATTTGACACAGCTGTGCCCCAGCTGCTACAACCATCAGTGTAAGAACACCCACAGGCAACCAAGGACTGTTGGATAATTTCCTCAACAAGACAACAGTTTCACTGGGTCATGTCCTTTTCATGTGTGTTGGTTTTGTTGTTGTTGTTTAATATGTATGTTCCTGTCTGTGTAAGTATATGAATGCAGTTGCAGCTGAAGGCCAGATGCCTTGATCTGCTGGGGCTGGAGTTACAAGTGGTAGATAGCTGTCCAAAGTGGGTGCTGGGAACTGGACTTGGGTCCTCTGCAAGAACAATATGTGCTCTTAACCACTGAGCCATCTTCCCAGCCCTTCATCTGAGTTTTTATTAAATGAGATTTTATAATTGTCCCATTTCAAATATCATGGTGTTAGTACTTAGAGAACTTCCTTAGAACTCAACAAGTATGCATAGCAGTAAAATCCTCAGGTTCTCCATACCTCAGATGAACAAACACTTTATCAGAATAGCTACATACAAGGTTTGTAAGACAGCAGTAATAACCAACTAATGTGTTTCTTACTTAGCTTAACAAAAGAAAATACTATGCTTGGGTAGGAACACATCCCAGCTCTATGGGCATCTTCTTGCTCTCGGTTCAGCACAGTGATGGTCACTGTTTGGATTCTATATCTTTGTTTTTTTTTAGTCCAGGGAAAATCTTATATAAAGCTGCAAAACCCACCAACTCCAGCAGAAGCACTGCTGTGACTTAGTGCTGAAGTAACCTTTAAGGGCATAACTGCAGTGTTTCTCTGGTGATAGGTAATCTTCCTAGAAGCTGCACTCCTCTTGCATCTCTACACTGAGACACTCAAACATTTTTTTTTTTTTTTTTGGTTTTTCCAGACAGGGTTTCTCTGTGTAGCTTTGCGCCTTTCCTGGAACTCACTTGGTAGCCCAGGCTGGCCTCGAACTCACAGAGATCCACCTGGCTCTGCTTCCCGAGTGCTGGGATTAAAGGCGTGCGCCGCCACCGCCCGGCTGAGACACTCAAACATTTTAAGCATGGTGTTTGTTCCCCAATTAAGGTTTGGATCAGAGGTAAAAAACACACATGTTCTTCCTGTCACCACATGCTGTCGTGCTCATCTCCATGCACTGCAAGCCCTCTCCCTGCTGCTCCTGCTTCTGTAAATGTGCAAGGATGTGCTGGGCTCACCACTTTCCTGAGAGGTAATTTCTACTTTACACTCTAAGCTCCCAAAAGACTTCGACTGGGAACAGTTAGTACACTCAGTTCCATAAGTAGCATTTATCATAAAAAGGAAGTCAGGTGACCTAAATAAGCCCAACAAAGCCCCTGGGTATTCTTATAAAGAGAATTCTATTTCACTGCAACCAAAACCTAGACCAACCTGCTGAAGATTAAAAGTTACATGCCAGCTTGAAATCTGGTAGCTTAATGTCTATCTGCAGGTTCACCCTTAGCATTTAGGTGATGGTGCTGTTTGGTGTCACAGGGGCGAATGAACACGTCACACCACTTTGTGTTTTAGCTGTTCTCACAAGGTCCAGAGCAGCTCTGCCAAGGATGTCACTCATCTCCCTGCCCAGCTTCTCAGAGATGAAAATGGTGAGCTTTGCCTCGACCAGTCCAGCTGCAGACAGCACACACAGCAGCTTTGACCTGAGGGGGAGCCTGGACTTGGCACAATTCTAGACTCTCCCAAGGAATTCAGCATGTAATCACTCCTAAAGAGCCCAGATTTATACTAAAAAGAATAACTTAATGCCTCAGGAAGAAAAACTTAAACTGGGGAAACCAGCCTTGATGAAAATGCAGGTTATATACAGACCTTACCTGGCTAAGTTCTAGTGTCAGTGTAGGTTACTGCATTTAAAGGCACAGCCTATGGTGCTAGTGAAGGACCTAAAGCCGTTCACAGAGGACAGCCCTTCAGCCTTGTGTGCCATCAGTACATAAAAAGACAAGGACTACCCAGGTTACTACATCCAGAAATTTACTTGCTCAGCAGGAGTTGGCTTAGGAGACCGTTAAATATTGAACCTCATTCTCTTTGGGTGTTCTCAGAACTTCCCAGTGGACCCCAGTGGTTCTCAGCTGCACTGCACACCCAGGATGATCAGATCTGGAGGGGAAGTCCAGAAGCGTCAGTCTTTGTTTCCCCAGATGCCTCAAACATGCAGCCAGGCTGCAGGCCACCCTGCAGCTCTTCCAGAGGCTGCTGTGCGAAAGCTTAGGGACAGTTCCAGGCTAGACCGTTCTGCTGCTTCTGTGTTCCAGGAGAAAGGGTCTTTTTAGAAAAGGGCACAGCTGTGCCTCCTCTAAAGACACAGGCTGCTGTGTGGAGGTGCTGACTGTCAGAGGTTATCTGGAGCGCTGGTTGTAAAGAAGGAAGTCCTTGTCTTGGCAGAGCAGGCAGAGTTTCAGGCTTCGGCAGCTACCTCCAGCAACAAAAAATGCCCAGATGCCCATGACCACCATGATTATGTATGCTGACACCAGATTTACTCCATAATAAGGAGTTAGGAAGGTCTGCAAAGGAAAAGGAAATCAGCTTGGGTAAAAGCACAAGCTTTTAAAACCTGTGGAATAAACAGAGACAGAGGAAAATACACAATGCTTTCAACAGCTGGACTGCGTCTCACAAACATGGGATGACTGTCCTGTGTGAGAGACTCAGGAAGGCCCAGCAGACACTGGTCTGTGAACTTGCCCTGTGCTTGACTCAAATGGCAACCCCAGAAGACAGCTTTAGCCAGGACCTAATGGGATACTTAACAGAAAACAATGGAGCACCTGGGCCTGATTTGTAGCCATTTCTGTGTTAATTAAATTGGCTCTAAGAATTTGCAGCAAAGTCAGGTACATCTAGATTACTTTAATATGAACCATTAGTATTCAAAGGAACATGCTTTTGGCTGTACAATTGCTATGGATTCCAAAAGTTTAATCATTATAAAACACTATCAGGAACACAGCTCAGTGGTAGAGTGCCTGAAGGCCTGGGTTCAATCCCCAGCACCAAAGAATGACTGATAGAGAGTGCCAAATGGTTACATTGAGTGAAATTACTGAAGACAAGTATCCACCATAATGGAACTTATATACTACTAAATAACACAGATAATGAAGAAGTAATTAAATAATTAATTGCAAATTATGATTGATAGTAAGACAGAATATTTAGAGTTGTGATGAATGCTAGGATGAGAACATGGTGATCTTCTTAAGGGGTGATGGAGGCCTGGAGAAAATGGCACTTAACCTGAGACAGATAGCAAGAGGAACCCTGTATAGGCTGGCTGTGGGAGGAGCAAAGGTGAGGACCAAGAGCTGGAAACGGATGAAAACTAGAGCCCAAATGAATATAGTTTAGGGATGGAGGATCAGATGAGGTCAGACAGCTGAGGAGCCTGTGGGTAAACAATGTGAATGTTATTCTCTGTGCAATGCAGGGTCATAGAAAAGGTTTAGGTTGGGATAATAATGGTTGATTTTGATTTTTCAAACTGCATAAAAAGGATTAAGGGAGATTATGGTGAATCAAGATGAGTTAGGAGAAGATTGCACTGGGTGAGGAGAGCATAGGATGGTTACTTAGGGTGGTAGTGGTGGGGATGGAGAGTGAACAGGATGAGCTCACAGGGCTTGCTGACTGACTGAATGTGAGGCAGATGCCAAGGCTGACTCATTATTTCTGCCTTGATGGTAAATGAAGGCTTGAAAAGCACTAACCTTGAAAGAGACAAAAGTAGTGGGGAAGGAACAAGCTTGCAGTGAATGGTACCAATCCGATCCAAAGATGTCATGGTGAGGAGTAACAGGCCGCCAGGCGGGGGTGGCACATGCCTTTAATCCCAGCACTCGGGAGGCAGAGGCAGGCGGATCTCTGTGAGTTTGAGGCCAGCCTGGGCTACAGAGTAAGTTCCAGGAAAGGTGCCGGATCTACACAGAGAAACCCTGTCTCGAAAAACAAAACAAAACAAACAGTAAGAGGCCATGATATTTCAATAGGCAGAGGTCAAATACTTGTATGGATTTCTGAGCATGATACTTATAGGAGAGACAGAGGCTAGAAAAATACAAGCACAGTCTAATAATTAATGCCATTATTCCATTATTATTGTCACCCAAAGAGCTACTGCAGAGATAGGCAAAGGTAATACAAAAATTGAGCCCTGAGAAACTCCAGCACTTATAATACTAAGAGCCAACAAAGGAGTCCTGAAAAATCAGGACAGTGTGCTGCAGCAGAAGAAAAGTAGAGAAAATGAACTTTTTTTTTTCCTGGAGCTGAGGACCGAACCCAGGGCCTTGCGCTTGCTAGGCAAGTGCTCTACCACTGAGCTAAATCCCCAACCCTGAAAATGAACTTTTTAAAGGCTGCTAAGCTAGAGAGACGGCTCGTTTGTTGCTCTTTTAGAGGACTGGAGTTGGTTCCCAGCACCCATGAAGGGCAGCCTGCAACTGACTATAACTCTGGCTCCTGGAGATCTGATGCCCTCCCACCTCAGCTCCAGGGGAATCCAGTGACATTTTCTGGCCTCTATGCATACCCACACACATATGCATATATGTATACACTGATGTTACGGGACTTTTGATCATACTGTGACACTCTGAGACTGTTAAATAAAGTTTACCTTGAATCAGGAGGCAGAGCTAGTGACTAGCTGGCTGGAATTGGCCATAGAGAAGCCAGCAATTTGGGAAAGAAAAGGCAGGGACTTGAGTTTGGCACTTCCTTTTGGTTTGGGAACTGGTGAAGAGACATCTCTTACTGCGTCTCCAGCCAAAAAGCAAGGTCAACTGGTTGCTTCTTGGCTTCTCTGATCTAGCAGGTTTTTTTCTTTCTTTCTTTTCTTGGGTGGGGTTTGGGGTGTGTGAAAACCTGCTGGCTCAGAGAGGCTGAGTAGCAACTAGCTGACCTTCCCTCTTTGCGGTGTCTCTAGAAGACAGCCTCCTTTTGCTCAACCAAAACAAACAAACAAACAACAACAACAAAAAACCCCATGCCGCACAAAGGCCCACTTCCTGTGCATCTATGTCTATCATCTTACAGACACCCTGTGACTCTCTAGGATTACTTTCTGTCAACTAATCAACCTGACCCAAGGTTGATTTTATTTAATTAACACAAATGCAAACTTAGGGTTCACAGTGTGATCAAATGCCCCATAACACACTGACTCACCATATATACATAAATTAAAATAAAAAATCTTAAAGGCTGCCGGCATGAACAAAGAACAATGTCCATTAGATCTGGAAAAATGAAGGTTTGGAAGGACGGTTTGAGCAGAAGCCAGACTGGGCTAGAAGTCTGAGGGCAAAGTAGAAGAGAGGCCAGGGAGGTGGCTCAGTGGGTAAAGGCTCTTGTCGTCATCCTCTGACTTCCACACCATGTGCACGAGCGCGCGCACACACACACACACACACACACACACACACACACACACACACACACTCACACACACACACACACTCACACACACACACACTCACACACACACACACTCACACACACACTCACATACACACACACACACACACACTCACACACACACACACTCACATACACACATACACACACACACTCACACACACTCACACACACACACTCACACACACACACACACACACACTCACACACACACACACTCACACACACACACACACTCACACACACACACACACACTCACACACACACTCACACACACACACTCACACACACACACTCACACACACACACACTCACACACACACACTCACACACACACACTCACACACACACACACAGACACACACACACTCACACACACACACACACAGACACACACACACACTCACACACACACACACTCACACACACACACACAGACACACACACACACACTCACACACACACACACACACACTCACACACACACACACACTCACACACACACACACACACACTAATAAATACATACATACAAATAAATAATTTCTTTTTAAAAGTGGAGACAGAGTTTGTGGAGATTGTTCTTTGAGATGTGCGCTGTAATGAAAGAGGAAAAAGTTGCAGGAAGAGGGGAAGTCACATCAACAAGTTTTGTGTAAGATGTGTCTGGTGGAAAGAGGGAGAAAGACTGGTCCTGGATGACGGTGGCCCACCAAAGGAGGGCAGTACTCAGGCCAGGGAGGATGGACTAGGGTCACGGCCTAAGCAGGCTGGCCTTAACCTGGGAGCCAGATTTTGCCTCTGTTGGACCAGGGCTAAGGTTAGAACCTAAGTTTCTGTCCAGCCTCAGCCTTATCCTAACAAAGGAGAAGATTTGACTGTGGCAATTGTTTACCAGACGGTTTTAAAGTAAGTGTTTTGAGATTCCCCAAGTAGCCCTTCTCGTCTCCACTCAGCCTGCACATGGCCCTGGCTAAAGCACTGAACTTGACCTATAGGCTCTGTTTGGGGGATGGGTTCATTTTTCAGGTAGCACCTCACACAGGAAGAATGTTTTATTCTACAGGCATCTGTGGGTATGGCAGGTGTTGAGAAGTTTATGGGTTCTTTTCTGGAATAATTCTATAGACAACCCCATTAAACTTCAATTTAAATTACAGAATGATGAAGTCTTTGCATTTTCTTCAGTTTATTTCCTTTAGATCCAGTTTTCTCTTTTAAGCAATCACAAAAAACAATGTAACCTTGTTATAGAAAATGAGAACACACAAAAGAGAAAAGTTGAGAACAAATGAGAACAAACAAATGAGAAACTTGAAATTTAGTTACATTACTTATTCATCAGAACATAAAAAAAGAAATAATAAAACCCAATTAAAGAGACAATATAAAATGGAAAACTGGTATTAGGGATGTAACTCATGGGAGACTTGCCTGTGTGCACACAGGAGCCCCAGAGTTACACACACAAGACCTTCAAAAATAACACAAAAATAACGTGAAAGCTGGATGTGGCAGCTCATGTTTATAATACTAGCGCTAAGGCAGTTGAGACAGGAGGATTGCCACAAATGAGGCTAGTTAAAGCAACAGAATGAATTCTAAGCCAGTTTGGGCTATAGAATGAGATTATCTAAAAAACAAAACAAAGATAAACATGCTGTATAAGCTATTTGCAATATCTGACTAAAGATTCTTTTTTAGAAAATATAAAAAAATTCTAAAAAATTTAAAGACAGTTGGAGGTAGGTAAAATATTTGAACAAGAGCTTCAAAAAGAATTATCCAACTGACAACAGACATATGAAGATGTGTTTATTACTGAGGGAATGAAAGTTTGAAGTTTACTGTGCTTCTACTATATTCCCAGCAAGACTGAAAGTTATAACAGTGTTGGCAAGGACACAGAGGAGCTGAAGCTCATAAATAAATGGTTAGTGTTTAAGTCAACATAACCGTGCTGAGAAACTGAGTGATCCCACCAGCTGACTTATGTATTCCTCGAGCCCAACCAGAGCTTCTGGGAATGTATCCAGATGAAACGTGCACACGTGTTTGTTGAAGGACGTACATTTAAACACTTATTGTCATATTCTTTACAATAGTCAAAAACCAGAGCACTAAAGAGATGGCTCAGGGGTGAAGTGCTTTGGGTGCAGCAATCAGATGTTCTGCTACACGCCTTTAATCCAAGCATCTGGGAGGCAGAAGCACCTGGGTCTTTGTGAGTTTGAGGCCAATCAAGGCTACACAGTGAAAACGTGTCTTAAAAAAAAAAAAAAAAGACAGGTAGATCCCATGTCTCTCCTCAGTGTGCCTGGCTCTCAGGACACACTGCTCTCTGGGGTGTCCTCACTCCCTACTTTTCAGCTACTCCTTGTGCTTCTTTGCTGGCTCCCTTTTAACCTAATCTCAAGGATGGAGCATCATGGGACTCCATGCTTGAGCATCTTCTCTGTTTACCCACAATTCTTTGAATTATCTTTTCTCAGGCAAACTCCTTCCCCAAACTACCCCTTTTCATCCAACTTTCACCTGACCTCTACTCTTGGATGTTAAACAGGGTACCTCCAAAGTAATGGACCCCAAATAGAACCACCCTCTCAGGCCCTCAGTCTCAGCGGATGACAACACTATCCTTTCAGTGGTCCAGGCCAAACCATTAACCAAATCCTTGGCTCCTCATCTTCCTCATCCACTCTGTAGGGAACACTGATGGCTCTACTTTTGATACGTATTTCCTGAATCTGGCCATTTCTATTTCTTCACTGCTCTTTCATCCAAGTCCTCCTTGCCTTTCCCTTAAGGAAGGGACCTCTCCCAGCCAGCCAGTTTATTCTTAGTGAAGTAGTCAAGGCAATTCTTTCCAGATGTATATCAGATTATCCTCCACCTTTTCCTCCATTTTGTATTTTAAGGTAGGATCTCAGCTATGTAGACAAATACATGCTTGGCTTAACATAGATGCCATCATGTTAAAGGCAACTTTAGTATCCACAAGTTCTGCAAGGTTTAACCATGTAAAAGGCAAACAGACTGCATTTTAGCTGAGGGTAAGAAGCCTAGTGAATAAAATATTATAGGAATTCTAAATAGACAGAGAAGAGAGAAGCAGGAGGCAGGTCCCATTAGTAAAGACCTTTTTTTTTCTTTTTAACTTTCTTTTTATTTATTCTTTGTGTTTTTCATATCATGCATCTCGATCCCATTCATTTCCCTGTCCATATCTGCCCTCTGCCCTTGCAAAGCCCTCCCCCCAAAATAGAATAGAATTTAAGAGAAAAGAATGAAAAGTAAAAGAAAAAAAGAGGAAAAATCTTGTCATTAATACTGTAGTGTGATACAGTGAGTCACACAGTAAAACCTTTGCCCATATATCTTTACTTGGAAGTGTTCATTGCAACGAGCCATTGGTCTGGTTCGAGGCCTCTGGTTTCTGCTACACTATTGATTCTGGGCCCTCACTGGGACTCCTCTTGGATAACCTGTTGTTGCTTGGTCTGGTTCGAGGCCTCTGGTTTCTGCTACACTATTGATTCTGGGCCCTCACTGGGACTCCTCTTGGATAACCTGTTGTTGCCCTGTGTTGGAGATTCTGCAGCTGTGGGTCTGCAGGACCAGCCCTTTCATGTGCTCCCACCAGCCTGCCAGCCCACCAGCACCCAACGCCACTACCAGGGTGAGCTCTCCAGCATGCCCTGGTTAGTTCACCCCTTGCAGCAATAAGCAAGGGGAGGGGCCGTTCTCCTGCTTTCATGCCCTCAGGGTTGGCTCTCCCACACCTGGACCGTGAGGGCAGCTCTACTGTGTTGTTCAGGGGGAGGTTCAGGGACCACTCTCCGGAGTGCTGCAGCTGGTGAGGGGCAGGGACAGCCGTCCTGCTCTTATGACCTCAGGGTCAGCTCTCCCATACACCACCATATGGCAGATGAGGGGTTTGGACAGCTACTCCACACTCACACCCTCAGGGCCAGCTCACCCCTGCCTCTGCCAATAGGGTTAGCTCTCCTGTGCTGCCCAGGCAAGGAGCAGGGCCTGCTTTTCTGAGTGCTGCAGCTGGTAAAGGGGAAGGTTGGCTCCTCTGTCTGTCACAGGCAGTGAGGGGTAAGGGGTAAGAGTGCCCACATCACTCCATGACAGACAGCAGTAGAACACTTCTTCCATGCTCACAGCTTCGGGACTGGCTCACCCACACCTCCACCAACAGGGCCTGCTCTCCTGTGCTGCCCAGGCGAGGAGCAGGGCCTGCCTCCCTGAGTGCTGCAGCTGGTAAAGGGGAGGGTCAGCTCTCTTGCCAGCTGGAGGCGGTAGGGTCTAGGGGAGAGGGCATCTTTCCCTCGCCCCCACCACCATGCAGACTCAAACAAGGGAGGCGGTACCAGTGATGTCCCTCTCACACCCTCAGGGCTGGTTCACCTGCACCCCTGACTACAGGGTCATCTCAGGAGAGACCTTTTTAAAAAATCAACTATTATTATTATCATTTGTATACATATGTATAGCACACATGCCAATGTGCAGGGTAGAGATCAGAGGACAATTTTTGGAAGTTAGCTCTGTCCCTCCACAGTGGGCTCTGTGGCTCAAACTCAGGTAATCAAGCTTGCCGAGTTTACCTGCTGATCCATCTCCCTGGCCCAGGAGAAACCTTTTCAATATTGTACATAAAATGTGCAAAGGGTCTAGACAGGGCCGCGGCAGGGTCATTTTGATAACTGTCATGTATACAAATGACCAATTAGCACTCAGATCCAAGTCCTTACACACTGCTGTGTAAGACTCAAAATATTCAAGAACTCAAAATATTCACACCAATTGACTTCATAGTTCCCTGCCTCAAAGCCTAACATATGGGGAAAGCACATAAAGCCAAGTGTTCCAAGTCACAAAAGCTTCATAACAGAAAAAAAAGGGGAGGTGATTAACAAAATTAATCAAGTTAAAATAATTTTCACCTAAAGATTTAAACTTAACTAAAATCTGTATCTTAAGGAATTCGTAATGGAGGAAAATTGCTTCAGATATGCTTCATGCATAAGCATGATGCAAACTATTTTAGGCTTGACCAGACATCCTTAAAGGACAGACATGAGGAAAATCTCTAATGAGACAGAACCCCCCCCCCCAAAAAAAATTTATCTAGACTGTCACTGTGCTGAAACACACATGACCCACTGTCCACTCCAGGGCTTTTCTGACTTGCCCCACTTTCCCGAGGGTGTCCTTCATTTGGGTGGAATCCACCACACAGACCTCTGCACTTGAGCTCTGCAAGCACTGAGAACACAGGGACAACACTCACCTGGGTGGACACCAGCAGGTGAGTCAGGAGAACTGTAAGGAGGGTGTGCCACTTTTTCTTCTCACAGCCATCAAAAAACACAATGCTCCAGAACACATGCAGCATTATGATCACCAGCGTCATGAAAGCTGAAAAGACAAGTCGGCAATTAGTGGCCAGTCCTGCAGACAGCAGACACCAAACCCAGCTGAACCCCAACCCTGTGCACTGGCCCTGAGGGTCCCCTGACTACAGAGATAGAATCTGACCACCAGTGCACAGAACTGGCTTGCTAAGAACTCCACATTAACTTTCAAAGAAGTTAGGATGGGGCAGTCTTTGTAGAAGCTATTCCTCTAGAATACAAACCTGTTAGACATAAGCCAACTTGGATTTGGCTTTCAGAGAGTTTCCCTGAGGTATGCAATGAGATTAGTATGAAATTTACACAAGTATTTGTTTAAAACATATTTATTTTTATATGTATAGATGGTTTGCTTGCATATAAATCTGTGTAGCACATATGTGCCTAAAGTTCGAACATGCCTGAAAAAGACCTCAGATCTCCTGGGACTGGAGTTATAGACAGCTATGAGCTGCCTGCAGGTGCTGGAAATTGAACCCAGGTCTTCTAAAAGAACAGCCAGTGCTTTTAATCACTGAGCCATATCTCTACTCCAACATAGCTTATTTTCAAATAGCCTTCAGCCCCACTTAGAATTTTCTCAATTGAACAGAGCATCTTCTGTCTAAACAAGTCTCTGCACTGAAGGGGACTTTTTCTTTAGAACTCTTTTAAAAGAATGTAATAAAAAAATTAGTGTAACTAAAAATCACTATAATTATCTAAGATTCCTCTCTCTCTCTCTGTCTCTTTCTCTCTTTCTGATTTTTTAGAAACAGGGTTTCTCCGTTTAGTTTTGGTGCCTCTCCTGGAGCTCGCTCTGTAGACCAGGCTGGCCTCGAACTCACAGACATCTGCCTGGCTCTGCCTCCTGAGTGCTGGGATTAAAGTTGTGATTTCTTCTTTAAAGCAGGCAAGTTCCATATATTCACACTTTAACATGAAAAAAAGGCATATAGATTTCCCTTTCCTGCCACATAATAAACAGGCCATGAGCTTTAACCCACCAGACAGAAAAACCCCAGGCTAGAGTTCTACACCACTTGAAGGAAAAATAACCTGGCATTGCCAAGCAAAGGAGAATAGTTACATCTATTTCAGTCCAGCAAGGCATTTGAGCTACACTATAGACTATAGACTATATACACTATGGACTATGTACACTATAGACTATATATACTATGGACTATATACACTATCGACTATAGACTATATATACTATGGACTATATACACTATATACTATATACTATGGACTATATACACTATACACTATAAACTATATAGACTATGGACTATATACACTATAGACTATATAGACTATATAGACTATGGACTATATACACTATAGACTATGTGTACTATGGACTGACTATATATGCTATATACTCTATCTGTACTCCAAACCAGTGAGTTCTCAAATCAACAGATCACTAGCCCAGGGACCTGTTATCAGTGCAATTTACTGGTACCCACCCACCCATGAATCAGAAGCAATGGGGCAGGAGCCCAGCAAAGCCAGTTTAAACAGCCTTCCTAGAGATTCAATGCATGGTCAAGTTTCAGAATCCTGCCAAGGAGGCATTCTTATATATAAGGAGATACAAGAATATTTACACCAGCACTGCTGTAATAATAAAAATTCCCCACCATTACCACAACAGATAAGTAAATTACACTGTACTCACACAGTGGACTGCTGTATATGACCCACAACATGTATGATCTCAAGAACACAATGCTTAGTGAGAACAAACACACTGTGAAAATGCATATTATTCATATGAAGTAAGACATCAACAAAATAATATTAAAAGGACATAACTGTTGTGGCTAGAGGAGAGTAAGCTGTCACATCTCTGTGACAGTGTCTTTGTGTCAGCCTCTGGAAGACCACACTAAAAGGATTCAATCCAGGTCCAGTCATCATTCTGAAGAGGACAGTTCTTAAGGACAGATGCCTATCAATGGTCTGACACTGAGACCACTTAAGATGCCCAGGGGCTAAGCAAAGGCTTTTAAGTTTTCTCTGAGTCAAAAAAGACCAAGGCAAAAACTGACACAATGGGAACTTTTTTAAAATCATAAAGTGTTCATATTCTTTTTTTTTTTTTTTTTTTTTTTTGGTTTTTCGAGACAGGGTTTCTCTGTGTAGCTTTGCGCCTTTCCTGGATCTCGCTCTCTAGACCATGCTGGCCTCGAACTCACAGAGATCCGCCTGCCTCTGCCTCCCGAGTGCTGGGATTAAAGGCGTGCGCCACCACCGCCCAGCAGTGTTCATATTCTAAGGAAGGGTTTTCTAAGACCTAGATGTCAAGAGGAATCACTACCACAGGCATTTGCCATCTGCCCTGGCAGCCTCTGCTTGCCCTTCTCTCTAGGCTTTGCCATGGGTGCTGAGATCAGCTAAGTGTGCTCCCAAGGTTAGCTCCTAGAGTTCATTTTCCAGCCTGTTCTTATCCAAAACAGTGTTATTCTATAAGCTTCAGGCAAGTATCCTCTGGACCTTGCTCATCCTGATCATGCTTCCAAATTCCAGATCTGAATGTCTTGATCCTTCCAGCTAAGAGGTCTGATGGACTGACTTTGCCTCCAAAGTCAAATCAGACATCCCAGACCAGCATTCAAGTTCCTCCTCAATCTAGACCCAAATGATTTTAACAGCAGATCCTTGTGACTCTTTAACTGCGTCCTTGTGTCAGAAGCACAGACCTCAAGCCAGGCATGGTGGTACTGCCATTGAGAGGTAGAGACAGAGGCAGGAGGCTCAAAAGTTCAAGGTCATACTTAGTTACATATTAAGCTCGAGGCCAGCCTGGGCTACATGAGATACTATCTCAAAAAATCAGAACTGTTCTCTTCTCCTCCCTTTCTTTCCCCCTCCTCTCCTCCGTGTGTGTGTGTGTGTGTGTGTGTGTGTGTGTGTGTGTGTGTGTGTGCAAACAGATTGTCCCTTTAACCTAAATACCCACCCCTCCCCATTCTAACACACCCAAATCTTGCTTAAGATACTGTAGAGAGCCGTGCACGGCCGTGCCTCAAAGATGGCGCCGGCATCCGGCTTCTGCCTTCCCGATGGCAGGTGCTCCTTATTTGGCTAAGGCTAGGATCTGACTTGCTTCCGCACACCTGGACCTAATCTGGCTTGCTGGCGTATGTCTGACCCTATCGGCATTGTCCACGTGGCACTATGGGGTTGATTGCCCAGTGGCTATAAAGGGCGTGGGCTGGCTTTCCCGAGGGAGATCGGAGGAGAGAGAGAAGAAGATGGCTTTCCCCGGGGTCAGAAGATTGTCTCAAGGTTTCTGAATAAACTGCTTGGAGAAGAGCCTGGTGTTGCGTCTTCCTTGCTGGTCGAGGCGGACGCGACAAGATACAGCACAGAAGAGAGGAGGGAGGGATCCTATGAGCAAAGGGGTCAAGATCATGATGGGGAAACCCACAGAGACAGCTGACCCAAGCTAGTGGGAGCTCACAGACTCTGGACTGACAGCTGGGGAACCTGCATGGGACCAAACTAGGCCCTCTGAATATGGGTGACAGTTTCAAGGTTTCATTTGTTTGTGCAGCGGGGGAGGCTAGACCTTGCCTCAACTTGGTAGGCCAGACTTGGTTGACTACCCAAGGGAGGCCTTACCTCCTCTGAGGAATGGATGCGGGGTAGGACGAAGGGAGGTGGAGGGTGGGATGGGAGAAAGGGAGGGAGGGGGAACTGGGGATGGTATATAATATGACAAAATTTTTAAATAAATAAAAAAAGATACAGCACAGGGTCAACAAGATGGCTCAGTAGGTAAAGGTACTTGCTGCCAAACCTATGATGTAAGTTTAATACCCAGATACACATTGTTGAAGGAAAAAAGACTTTTGCAAGGTGTCCTCTAACATCTACACATGTGCGGGTGCATGTGTACATGTGCACACACAAACACCAAAATGTAATAATTTTTTAAGATCTAGCACAATGTTACTTCTTCAGTAAATATTCCCCTAATACATACTCTTCTCTGTGATTTTTCTTACATTTGTTGTTGAGACTCCTATTCCATAGACAGGTGGCATTGAATTTGTGGTATTCCTACTACCTCAGTCTCCCAAGTACTGGAATTATAGGTATGAACCACTGCATCTGGCTTCCAATTCTGGTTACACTCAATACACATTTTCTGAGCATGGTGACAGTCAAGTATGAATATTCTGGTTGGGTATCTTTAAAGTCAGATAACTGTGAATTAGAATGCCACTTGTGTGGATTTAGACAAGCTGTTTAACTCTCTCAGCTTACATTTCCTTTACTTCTAAAATGTATATTTCACAGACCCATTGCAAGGAACAACAGCACTTGGCAAATCAGAGCTTTTCAGCAAAACAGTGACCACTACACTCTACAGCAATGGTTCTCAACCTTCCTGATGCTGCAACCTTTTAATATAGTTCCTCATGTTGTGGTGACCCCAACCATAAAGTTACTTTGTTAGCATTTCATAACTGTAATTTTGCTACTATTACAAATCGTAATGTAAATATCTGATATGTGAACCCCGTGAAAGGGTTGTTTAATCAACAAAGGGGTCATGATCCACAGGTTGAGAACCGCTGTTCTACAGCCTCATAGATAATACAGCAAGTCCTTAGGTATACTGTCAGGTAGGAAAGTAAAGTGGAAGACATCTGATAATCACATTTATTCAAGATTCCTGGGTACTTGGCTATGGATTAAAACCCATTCCTCTCCACTCTTTTATAGATTATTCTTCCTCTGACTTTGTTTTATTATCACACTTTCTTCCTTTACTCTTTCAGTATCCAGCAAGTATTTTCTCAGTGACCAATACAGGCCAGGAACTATTCTAAGCACTGAGGCTCCTGCATATTTGGAACAGTCTCATAGAAGACACCCCACCTTCAGCTTTCTGTTTTATTAATGTAATATTCAAGAAATCACTCAAATGTTACTGAAAGACTGTACATTCCTACATTCTGGCTGGCTTTGCTATCACCATATAGCAGACACTTAGAAGCTGCTTTCATTAAAAAGCACTGGCTTCTTACTCAGGTAACTGAAAGCAGATTGAGAGCCTGGCATCTCTGACTTCACTTTATGAAGTGTTTCCTTTTTTGTTGGGTATCTGCTCATCTCTGTAGCAGGCATGATAATCATTCAAGGAGAGTTTGTCTTAAGAACTGGAGACTCCTAACCTATCTCATTCCCCTTCAAGGTTGAATGCACAAAGATAAGAGTAATTGAGGCATCTTACTTCCAGCTTTTTAATGTCCTGGTCCAGACCCCAAAGGCACCTGAGTGTCTCCAGTCATCATCTTAAACAAGCATTCATCTTGGATTAGAGGAATAGAAGGGCTGGCTGGAGAGAACACTTCCCAGATGAGGGCAGTTCTAATGCGGTTCTGGACCGGGGCCATCATCTCACAAGAACTTGCTTGTCTCCTCAAGCCATAAACTGTTTTCAGACCACCTTGCAGGACCAGAACTGAGACACTGACCAATCAGGACCACACACTGATGGCTTAACTGTTCACACCCTTTGCCCTCACACCTCAATTCTTCTTTTCAGACCTAAAGCTCTTGTCAATGTGATCGAGATAGAGTCTGGGGTCACTGAACCCCCATGACTGATCTTCTCCCCCACTGCACCATATTGATCTCTTCCTCAAACTTTTCATATTGCTCATCTCTTGACTTGGTGTACAGTAGACAGCTGGCCAATCCTAGTCTTGGGACTCTGAGAGATGGGATTTTGTTTCAAAATTCCAATACTGGCCATAAGCTAAATTTTACTATGGCAAATATTGTGGAGCATTTATTCCATCTACAACTGGTAAGAAACTGAGGCCTGACTATCTAAACTATCTACCACATACAAATAGTTACACTACATGCATGCCACTTTGTTACTTATTAACAAATGGACTGAATTCCAACTAGAAATGAAGACATAATAACAGTATCTGTAAAGTCTTCCCCCCCATTTTCATTGCTAAACTCTCTCAGTTCATATTCCTATACATAAAATCCTAAAAGTCCTTCAGAGACTCTAACTCTAAAATTTACTTTATTCTATTCTTCTTAAGAAAAACATGGGGCTAGAGAGATGGCTCCATGGTTAAGAGCTCTTAATATATTTTACAATGCTGGGTTTAGTTTTACTTAATTCTGTTTTTGTTTGTTTTGTTTTGTTTTTTGAGACAAGTTTTCCTTGTATAACAGCCTTTACTATCCTGGAACTAGCCCTGTAAACCAGGTTGGCATCAAACAGAGATCCGCCTGCCTTGAGTGCTGATATTGAAGGTGTGTACTGATGCTATCACCACAACCAGGCTAATTTTACTTAATTCTTACTGACTCTAATCTAGACATTCTCTTCCTTCTCTTCTTTTGTCTTTTTAGATTTAGATAGGGTCTCACTATATAGCCCTGTCTCACTTGAAACTTGTTATCTAGACCTGGCTGGCCTAGAACTCACAGAGATCCACCTGGCTCTGCCTCTTGAGTGCTAGGATTACAAGCATACACTACCATTGCCTGGCTTTTGATCATTTCTTCTGTCCTTCCTGAAAGACCTAGAAATTGAGGCCTGAGAGGTCAGGTCTCTTCCTCCAGTTTGGAACAGCCTTCTCCTCAGTTCCTTCCTTTGTTGGCATAGTTATTACTTATCTTTAAGTAAATCTCTATAATTCCATAAGCAGTGACTAGCTTCTATTTTTCAGTCAATATTTATCAAGTTTTGTCTAGTAACAATGGACCCCATGAGAATCTATGGATGGGATATGGTAATAAACAAGACATAGTCCTTGCTAAATCATGTGATTTAGCACAAAACTGGAGAGACAGGCACTAGACAATAGTGACATCATCAGTTAATCAAGGCTGGGGTACATAGGCAAAGAGACAGGCACTAAACAATAGTCACATCATCAGTTAATCGCGGCTGGGGTACATAGGCAAAGAATTGCACTGTCCACACATACCCTTACACTTCTCTTCCTCTTTGTAATATTTATATTATGCTTTGTGCAGTTAGGTGTTTGTTTTTATGTCATCGTGGGCAGAGAGCATGGAGAAATCTTTAGTAATTACTTACAGACTGCATACATAAATAATCAAAAGGACTTGTCCCCAAATACTAAATTGATGATATGACTTGAACTTGGAACCTAAATCTCATACTTCCTTCTCAGCCAAGTACTTCCAAGAAATGGCAATGAGTCTAACTTAATGTGGGCCTGCTCTACAAGTACTGATAAAAAAGAACTAACTTACATATGTATTTCATAAAACTATTTTTATGTAACACAAAAATTCATGTACATACAGATATCATACAATATGTGTATTATTAACATAATGGACATAGAGATGCTCATAAGGATCTCATATTCCTTACTTATTGTAATTACCATTTTAGGAACAAATCTACTCTTCCAAGGGACTCATTTTAAGCTGACCTTGAAAATAGCCTGGTTTACTAAGAGAGTTAGCACCATCTAGAGGACAAAAGCCGGCAATACATGATGATGGAAAGAAAACAGTTCCTGTAACAATGTAAACTAAGAAAATTCACAATACAGAAGGTGTCTTAATTTCTACTGGACTCTGATAGACATTAAACACTAGAACTACATTTGCTTTTTGCAACCCAAGCACTATTGCCATTTAAAATTTATGCCAGGAATATTCCAGTTTGGAATATTCACAAAGGCAATTTGCTACTTTGGGGGCGACATTAACAAGCATGATCCATTAACACACGTTCCCTTAACTCGCAGCCAGAGTTAAAGGGTCTGAACTGGATGCTCTCAGCCTCACAAAGTCAAACACTTTTCAAACAGGGAAGACTAGCTTGCTGGCTGCACAGGGGCAGGTTCACTTGAGAAGCTGACACATTAATGTCCACAGGTGAGGCTCAGATTTGAACACAAGGAAACTGAGAGTGGTGGGAGACTGTCTCTGGGGTCAGGGAGTGCCAGGATGTCTCTAAACTACTGCAGCTTTGAAAAATTGGCCATTTCGCTTTATAATCTTTTTATTCTATTAAAAGCTACTGAAACACTATTTAGTTTTTGGTCATATTCCCCTACAAGATGATAAGCTCCCTAATGATCTTTGGCCTGGATGTGAACATGGATTTAATTGAAAAAATGGGTATGTGAGTTCACTTATTCCAATTAATAACTGCTATTGGTCTAGACAACTACAAACACGACTATTTTTCCTCTAGTTTTTGTTTTTGTTTTTTGTTTTTTTTTTTTTTTGGTTTTTTTTTTTTTTTTTTTTTTTTTTTTTGGTTTTTCGAGACAGGGTTTCTCTGTGTAGCTTTGTGCCTTTCCTGGAACTCGCTTTGGAGACCAGGCTGGCCTCGAACTCACAGAGATCCGCCTGGCTCTGCCTCCTGAGTGCTGGGATTAAAGGCGTGCGCCACCACCGCCCAGCTGTTCCTCTAGTTTTAAACAAAGTGGAATTTAATAAAATAATATTCTAATTATAAAACAAACTTGTGGTCATTGTGTCATAACTTGTTGCTGGTGAATGAAAAGCAATGTGAAAAGAGTTGGTCCTTTTTTTACTGCATCTTTGCACAAAAAGATTAATGCATCTACTTTTCCTCTACATTTAAAGCAAGTCATGCTGCCTATCTACAAAAGGCACTGAGTTATAGATTAATCAGAGATTAGAATGTAGACTAGAGGTCTTGTGTTGAATCACTAGCACTGGGCAAGAAAAAAAGCAGGTGCTTACAGGTTTATATCGAAGATAAATCTAAAATGACAAAACAGAAAGGATATAGCTCATAAAAATTAGCTGCTAATGTTTCAACTACACTGTAACATTTTAGTATAGCCAAATAAATATATATATATAAATCTTTTTGTGTAGTTGGTTGGTTGGGTTTTGTTGTTGGTTTGTTGTTGTTGTTTGTTTGTTTGGTAGTTGATTGGTTGGTTTTTTGAGACAGGGTTTCTCTGTGTAGCTTTGGAATCTATCATGGAACTTGCTCTGTAGACCAGGCTGTCCTCAAACTCACAGAGATCCTTCTGCTTCTGCCTCCCAAGTGCTGGGATTAAAGGTGTGTACCACCACTACCCAGCAAATATATAAATCTTGTGCAAGATCAATTCCTGTAGTATTCTTTTTTTTTTTTTTTTTGGTTTTTCGAGACAGGGTTTCTCTGTGTAGCTTTGCCCCTTTCCTGGAACTCACTTGGTAGCCCAGGCTGGCCTCTAACTCACAGAGATCCGCCTGGCTCTGCCTCCCGAGTGCTGGGATTAAAGGCGTGCGCCACCACCGCCCGGCTCAATTCCTGTAGTATTCTAAAGCACTCCAATCAAACCCCTGCCCCCACTCCCAGGTCCTTCACTTGTAGTGCCCAAGAATATCTTCCCTTTGAAAGTCTTAACATAAACCACCTCCGCTTGAACTCTGAGGCCAATGAATTGCAATAAGGACGATGCTTTAGAGCACAGCTAGGACACATACCTGAATTAAGGAAGAACTGAGGAGAATCACCATGAATGCCCACTGTGCCTGGCCCCAACGAGTCAGACAGGGTGTTCACAAAGGAAAACACTCCACTCATGATTCCAAAGCCCAAGCCAGAAACTAGAGAGGAAGAAAACACCATTAAGCCCTTTTCCTGTTATGAGTTCAGTTCAAATCTAATTTGCAAGGACTGGGGAATACTATTTCACTGCAGGGAAAGGGTACACCTGCTGTTGCTGAAGCACCAGACAGCCAGCTCTGGAAGGCTAAGTGAGAAAGGGGAGGAGAAAGGGAAGGACAGGATGTAGTAGATCAATGAACAAGGAGAGGCACAGAAGAAACTGGAGAGGAAGAAGAGGGTAATGTGATGAAGGCCCTGGCTTTGGTTTATTGTCGCCAGACTAAGAGGGAGTAACTGTGATTGCAAGGTGGGATCTCTGGGCCAGACTGAGCTAATTCTACATGGAGACCTAGATCCAGTGTGTGTGTGTGTGTGTGTGTGTGTGTGTGTGTGTGTGTGTGTGTGTGTGCGCGTGCGCGCGCGCTGTGGGATGGTCTGTATGTCAAATATGTTGCTGATTGGTCAATAAATAAATCACTGATTGGCCCGTGGCCAGGCAGGAAGTATAGGCGGGACAAGGAGGAGAATAGAGCTGGGAAGTGGAAGGCTGAGTGGGGAGACACTGCCAGCCGCCATCAGGACAAGGAAGATGTAAAGTACCGGTAAGCCACAAGCCACGTGGCAAGGTATAGATTAATAGAAATGGATTAATTTAAGCTGTAAGAACAGTTAACAAGAAGCCTGCCACGGCCATACAGTTTGAAACCAATATAAGTGTCTGTGTTTACTTGATCGGGTTTGAGGGGCTTGGGACTGGCAGGTGAGAGAGATTTGTCCTGACTGTGGGCCAGGCAGGAAAACTCTAGCGACATGTGTGTGTGTGTGTGTGCCATGTGCAGGCTGTACAGGTGTTGGAGCCCCTAGAACTAGAGTTCCAGGTGGTTGTGAGCCATCATCTGGGTGCTGGGAACTGAATTCAGGTCCTCTGCAAGAGCAATAGGTGCTCCTAACTGCTGAGCCACCTCTTCAGCACTTCTATTATTTTTCTTCATGACACCACAGGGTCTAACTTACCATAGGCCAACAGTTGCATTGAGGGTGTTGTCTCCTCAGGGTTTACGCTTTTCAAACCCTCACTGGCTGTTCTAAAAGAAAAACACATTTTTTTTTTATTTTTAAAGAAATGACTCATATCAGGCACATCATGAACCCTTCAAAACTAGATTCTTAGTGAGACTTCTGATAAGGTTACACTCCAGGTTGCAGTTCAGAATCCATTTAAATGAAACCCAGCACTCTTTTTTGTTGTTTGTTTTGTTTTTATTTGAGACAGGCTCTCTCTACATAGCCTGGATGTTCACTATATAGATCAGACTGGCCTCAAACTCACAGAGGTCCATCTGCTTCTGCCTCCCAAAGGCTGGGATTAAAGGTGTGTGCCACCAGCTCCAGCACATTTTCTTTTCTTTTTTTTTTTTTTTTTTTTGGTTTTTCGAGACAGGGTTTCTCTGTGTAGCTTTGCGCCTTTCCTGGAACTCACTTGGTAGCCCAGGCTGGCCTCTAACTCACAGAGATCCGCCTGGCTCTGCCTCCCGAGTGCTGGGATTAAAGGCGTGCGCCACCACCGCCCGGCTCATTTTCTTTTCTTTTTAAGATTTACTTATTTTTATATGCATTAGTGTTTTGCCTGCATGTATGTCTGTGTGAGGGTGTAGGATCCTTTTGTACTGGAGTTACAGACAGCTATGAGCTGCCTTGTGGGTACTGGGAATTGAACCCCGGTCCACTGGAAGAGCAACCAGTGCTCTTAACTGCTGAGCCAACTCTCCAGCCCAACTCCAGCACATGTTCAATAACTGAAGCCAAGAAATGAGATTTCCACCAACTCTATCTAGCTGATGTTTCCATAAAAGGAAAAAATTAAAATATCAGTAACAAGCCAATAGGGATTGAGTTCAATAAGAATAAAAGCAGTACTCTAGTTTCTGAGCTCAATGAATATTTATTTCTTTGTCCTGAGGGATCTATCACTCTGGATTTTCTTTTCCCCAAAGTCTTAGGTCTTTATCTTCAACTTATGGTCATTTGGTCGTATTTTCCACTATGGCTATACTTACTACCCCTTCTCTCTTTCACACTGAAGAACCAAAATTATTCCCACCCTTCTAGCAGCAACTTTTTTCTTTGGTTCAGGAACTGATCCCACGCCTCACACCTGCCAGGCACATGTCCCACCACTGGGGTTTTTCTTTTTCTGTTTGTTCATTTGGTTGCTTTGAGATGGTCTATGTAAGTAGGCTGACTTCAAAACCACTATGTAGCGAAGATTACAGGTGTGTACCCTCGTGCCTAGTCTATGAGGTGCAGGTTACTGGGAATCGAACCCAGGGCTCCATCTTCAGCCCCCTTAACACACCATTTTAGAAAATTTTAAAAACAGAGAGACACTTCTAAAAAAGAAAAAAAACAAACAGGGCTGAGGGTCTGGGTCAGTGATAGAGCTCTCTCCTGGCTTGTGCCAAGACCCCGGGTGGGGGTGGGGGGACATCGACAGGGACAAAAAACAAAACACAACTGTAGCATTGGTTATCTTAGCTTTTCACTTTTCTGTAGATATAAGATTTCTCTAAAATCACAAAATGTGTATTTTATTAATATTATTTAAAAAACTGACTTAGGTTGCAAAACTTGCAATCCAAGTATTTAAAAAACACACACAAGACACAATTCCCATATATTTCAGGCATCATACAGCAGTTTTAGACAATACAGGAGTTCCTGAAAATGCTTTTTAGGCAATGACAGTTATGTTTTAGGCAAATAACTTGAAATTGTAAAAGGTTTGTGTGGAAAGGGCTAGAGAGAGAGCTCAGCGGTTGAGAGCACTGGCTGCTCTTCCAGGGAACTCAGGCTCTACTCCTAGCACCCACATGGTGACACATAACTGCTTATAACTTCAGGGCCAGGGGATCTGTTGTCTTTTTCTGGACTTCTTGGACACCAGGCATGCACACAGTGCACAGACATACATGCAGGCAAAACACTCATACACATAAGATAAAAATGAGTGTGTTAAAAAATGAAAAATAAAATTTGTGCAGAAATGGACATTGCAGCCATATGCCAACATCTCACTGTACAAGGTTTTGTTGTGTTTGAAAGTTACAATCATCTCATTCATTCATCAACAATGTAGTAACTACTCCTGATTTCCTGACTCATGAAATAAACTTATTTGACTGCAATGATTTATAAAAGTGGGTACAAATGCTCCACATTTTAATCAGGGCAGCAAATTCAGGCAGCAAAATTTTGGTTGAGTTGGTCCCTTAAACTAAAAGGCTCAAACATATTTGTATTAGTATAGATATTTAAGCAAAATCTGAATAAACCAAAATCTCTAGTACTGAATAAAGTATACCATGAGAGATCAATTTAAATGTACTCACTTATATCTTAGCTCCAAAAAAGAGCTCATGCCTCAGGCTTTGTTCTTAAATGTATTTTTCCTTTTGTAGATTTGAAACTATAGAATATGTTTTTTAAAAATGAGCCTCTGTTTCCCACTAATAGTAAAAAAAATGGAAGACATAATCTCCATAAGAATAATTTATTTCAGGCGGTAAGAGGGAAACATGAAGTCCCAATGGGAAGGCTCTCTGTTGTTTCAGTAATTATTTCTCTGGGTTATTTTTCTTCAATAATGTGGGGTTTTTTTGGTTTATTCATTTCTTGCCAGTTTCCTCCCATTATAAGCTCCACCAGCCAGAGTTCTCTCTTTATCACTTTTGTGATAAACCTCCAGTTTCTACAAAGTGCCTGGCATTGGGCAATTCTTAAGAAACATTTTTGAGAGGAAGGAGACGAAAGAGGAAAGAAAAAGGAAGGGTATGAGGGCAGGCAGGCAAGCCAGGCCAGAAGTTTAAATACTCCATATTTTCAGGCTAGAAATGGACCAATCACCAAATCACAACTCAAGTCTAACTGGGAAAATAAAGCAAACATTTAACTTACTTCAACAGCCTATAATACGCAAACCTGAACAGTTCTTGGAAACAGACAGAGAGCAACACTCCAAAGATGAGCAGGTACTTCTGTATTGGTCCATCTCTGTTGTCAGTAATGACTCTCACTAGGTACCAAAAAACAGATGAAAGCAGAAGAGACACCAACCAGAAGAAAGCTCTGGAATGTAGAAGAAAAAAAAAAGCCACAAGTGAACAGAAGCACAAGATATTAATAATGACTTTAAATCTGCTGGAAAAGGAACAAAGATCTTGATTTTTTTTTTTTAATTGGGAAAAAAGTCCTTGAAGTGGCGTTCTGGATCATCAGTTGCTGATCAATGGTCCATTTCTCTCCTAGTGAGAAAAATAGTCCAAGAGGAATGTCAGTCAGATGTGCTCAACAAGACCGTGCTCAGTGACCCTGTCAGGTGCACACTAAGACACTGTCTGCCAAGGACTGGCCAAGAGGAACTTGGTTGCTGACTATTTTCCTAAGCGATGTTTTGCCTTTTTTGGTGTGCCATAGAAATATATAACCAGTGACCATTGCAATTTTCATATTCTCAAAATTCGCCAGAAACTGTGGATTTAATGGCTAACTATCTGTAAAGATAAGTGTCTTTTTCTGACAGAAAACAAATACCTAAACCTGCATTCATAGTGTGCACCGTGTAAATTTCAGAAGTTGCAAACCCGTGCTCTGGTGTAGTTGTTTTCCAGGCCCGGTTCTGACAATCCTCCTGTGGATTTTAATGACGACAGCAAGCTTTATAAGCCATCGGATCAACAGACTCTATTGTTTTTAAATTACAATAGCGAAGGAGCACTGTTCGGTAGAGTCAAAAAGTAGCTCAGAAAGGCGGGAGTCCCTGGCCTAGCTAGCCGGCCTGATGCCAAGTCCCAGAAACTCTCAGCAGGTGCAAAGAGACCAAGACCACGTTCACCAGCGGAGTTCGGTGTTTACCGAGCTCTCAGGACCACGTGCCTGGTCAGGTGTTGCTGCCTTTTCTCGCACTTCCACCCTCCGCTGCACCCCAGTCGTTACCCAGGGGTCTACAAGAAAAATCTGAGCCCAAGCCCCTCTCAGGCATTCTGAGTCCGAGGATGGGGGCTGGGGAGGAGTGGGCCACTGATCCCCAGGTGACTTTCATGACAGAGGGTGGGAACGACCCTTGGACGCCACTGAGCACTGGGTGAAATGAGACTCCTGTGGAAAGGCGAAGGCTCCACACACGAATGGAGCCAAGTGTTCCCATACCTAGTCCACAGAAGCCTAGATGCGCAGGGCGCGCCTGCTCAGCCTGCCCTTCTCCTCAGACCCTGGCAGGAGAGGAGGAGTCTCCCCTCCTTTCAGCCCTGGCTGTCCCACAGGCTGGCGACAGTGCGGGGTGGTGATTCCTGAGGTCATGGGAACCCGGGCGCGGGAGGGGACCCGCTGCGTCAAGGACCTGGGGCAGTCTCACCCGGCGATGAGGAAGATGACGCGCAAAGGGTCGGTGGCGATGGTGAAGACGTAGAGAGAGAGCGCGGGCCCGAAGGCGATGAAGGCGCAACCGAAGAACACGGCCGCCGTCATGGCGACCGCGGAAGCGAGTCCCGGGAGCCCGAGGGGACCCGAGGTGCCCAGTGGGCAGTGGGTGCTGGATAAGGGGCGGGGCCAGGCTGCAAGGCTCCGAGTGCTCAGTCAGAGCAGAGCTCAGGAGGCGGGGCCTCGAGATGCTCCAAAGCCCGTGGCAGCCGAGGGAGGGGCGGAGCTCAGGAGGCGGGGCCTGGTGGTGATAGAAAGCCCGTGGCAGCCGAGGGAGGGGCGGAGCTGGGGAGGCGGGGCCTCGAGGTGCTCCAAAGCCCGTGGCAGCCGAGGGAGGGGCGGAGCTCAGGAGGCGGGGCCTGGTGGTGATAGAAAGCCCGTGGCAGCCGAGGAAGGGGCGGAGCTCGGGAGGCGGGGCCTGGTGGTGCTCAAATCAAAGAGAGGACCAGATTGAAGTTCGCGAGGCGCGTCTTCCCTGTGTTCCTTTGCCCGTCAGGGTGGATGGCGGAGCGGGCCTCTACTCCAGTCACAGCGGACAAGGCAAGACTCAGTTGTTGGGACCTCGAGAAGCTCCATGGCCGTAAAAGCGGATCGCTGGTTCGAGTTGGGCAGGCAGGCGGAGACTCAAGGTGCTCCAAGCTCAAAGGAGGAGGGGCGTAACTTCGGACGCTCCTCTCGAGGTGCTCCAGGCCCAGTCTAAGTGAGTTTCCTGGCAGAAATGTAGCAGCTCTGCTCCTGCCCTGGAGAAAGTTGTTACTTCTCTGCCCCGCTCTGCTCTGGTGAAAGGAGGTCATCACCTAAACCTCATTCAAGAGATTTACTGGCGGAGAGGAATCCAGGAGAGTGACAGCCTCTAATGGTAGAAAAAGGCAACTTCAAACTGAACAGGTACAGGAGTTATATAGGGTTTCTTAGGAAGTTTTTCCAGGGTGAAAATTTTCAGGGTGGGAATTGGTTGGATTTCAATCCCTGAGCTTGGACAAGCTCAGAGATTGGCTGGATTTCGTGCTCAGAGATTCGTTGGTTTTTGTACTGAGTTGGTCAGGGGCAAGGAGTGTTTCTTTCACTGGCCCTTTTTAACCCTTTGGCTCTGGTTTCAGGGTCAGGGTGTGTTGCTTTGGCTGACCCTTTTACCCTACAATGAGACCTGACTTTGATTCCCCAGGACCCATGCAAATCTTGGTTAGGTAGCAGGCATCTGAGTCCTTCAGTTAGATGGGAGGTGGATATAAAATAATTCCCTGAAGCCCTCTGTCCAGCTATCCTGGCACACACAGCAGCGAACAACAAAACAACAGAGACCTTTGTCACAAACAAGTAGAAGGTGAATCAAATCCCAAGGTTGTCTTTTGACCTCCACATAAGTACCAAATATAGGCTCCTGACCTTACACTCACATATGAGTACATGTGTGCGCACATACACACACACACACACACCACAACTATACACATATGCACATAAAGATTTTTTTAAAAGAATAGAACAGTGCATATTGAATATGAAAAGTTAGTAACTGAGTGGATGGGGCAGTAAGTAAATAGTAACACTCTTCAATAACTTCTTCATTCATTCACTCAACAAACACTGAGGGCCTTTAAAGGTTCAGGTACACTGAGTTTCTTGGTTTTAGAATGTATTTTAAGGAGCTGGAGAGATGTCTCAGTGGTAAAGAATACTTGTTTGCTCTTGTGGAGGACCCAGTTTCAGTTCAGAGGACTCAATACCCACATTGTGGCTCACAACCATCTGTAACTCCAGTTCCAGGGGATCCAAAGCCCACTTCTGGCCTCCTCAGGTATGCATATGGTACACAGACATACATGCAGGCAAACACGCATTAATAATTGTTTCTGATCTATCAATAAGCAAGCAACAACAAATGTAGGTACACAATAATTCTTTCCCTTGATCAAAAACTATTTTTATAAGGCAAGGAGCTCACTATGTCTGTAGCCCAGACTGGCCTTAAATTCAAGATCCTGTTGCCTCAGCTCAGGCCAGGGCTAAAAAAGTGCACCATCATGCTTGGTCACACTGTTTCCTTATTGCTATATAGTTTCAGTTTTTCCTCCATAGAATTTATTTCCACTCAGCATAAAAAGATATATGTGTCTATGAAATAAAAGTATCAGTGGAAGAAGAAAGCCAATATCCGCAAGATGTCCTCTGACCTCCACACACACATAACTGTCAATTTTTTTAATTAAAAAATTTTTTTGGCCAGCAGCGGTGGCACATGCCTTTAATCCTAGCACTTGGGAGGCAGAGACAGGCAGATCTCTGTGAGTTCCAGGCCAGCTTGGTCTACATAGTGAGTTCCGGAACAGCCAGAACTGTTACACAGAGAAATCCAGTCTCAAAAGAAAATAAAACCAAAAAAAAATTTTTTTGACCATTATCACACATTTAAAGGTGGCTTGTATGTGTTGGATACAACTCAGAAAGTTTATAAGGTAACTGACAATAACTATATTAAGTATATAATACATTCACACTTTATATACATGAATGCTGCATTCAGAAAGACTCACTGTAGTGCTCTAAATTAATCCAGTGTAATCCACACATATGTGCTTTGCTTTGACCAGTAAAGAGACAATACCATGAAAATAATTTGCATGGCTTGAGGTTAGGCTATTCCAAAACATAATCCTCTTGTCCTACAGGCAACCACAAAAACTACCAGCTAAGGCCACAGCAATGGATAGAGTAGGTTATTGAGATTTTTAAATCTGTGTTAATTTCTTGTGTGTGTGTGTGTGTGTGTGTGTGTGTGTGTGTGTGTGTGTGTGTGTGTGGTTCTTTGTCTGGTTTTGGTATTGGGGTAATAGTGGCTTTGAAAAAAAAATTAGGAAATGTTCCTTCAGTTTCTATTTTGCAGACTTATTTGAGGAGCATTGACATCAGTTCTTTGAAGGTCTGGTAGAATTCTATGCTGAATCCATTTAGCCCAGGGGTTTTTTTTTTTGGTTCAGAGATTTTTAATTACTGCTTCTGTTTCACTTGGGAATATAGGTCTGTTTAAATTGTTTATCTGATCTTGATCTAGCTTTGGTAGATTGTATGTATCAAGAAATTCATTTCTTGAAGGTTTTTCAGTTTAATGGAATACAGATTTGTAAAGTATATGCTTATTATTTCTCTGAATTTCCTTTGTGTCTGTTGTAATGTCCCACTTTGGGTCTTCTCTCACTGTCATTTAATTAATTTGGTTAAGGATTTGTTGTTAATTTTTTCAAATAATCAAAATAAATTCTTCATTCTCCAACTTCTTAGGCCAGAGATGCAGAGCTCTGCTAGGAAGCCCCCTTAAGTGGGGGCTGAGCAAAGCTCAGCTGTAGCAACTCTCCAGGAGAGGAGCAGGATTGCTATATCTTGCAGGGAGACCATCCCCTATCCCACCAGGTATAGCCTGACTCTCCGGAATAGTCAGGTTACCCTTCCTGCAGAGCTGTCCTGGCAGCTCCAGGCCTGACTTTCTTAGTCAGGATGCCCTTCCCTGCTGAAGCAGTTCCAGGCCTGACTCTCCTGAGCAGTCAGAAAAACTTCCCTTCCAGGGCTGAGCTGTCTCTTTGCAGCTCCAGCCATCAGAGCTGTCCTAAACAGCTTCAGGTGTTGCCTGACTCCCCAAGTAGTCAGGCTACCTCTTCCCAGAGTTGCAAAACTCACATTTTGGTGCCAAAATCTGGGACCAAACCCAAGAGTTGCAACAAATTTACTCACAATAACTCTGTTCTGTCATAGTATATTAATGATGACTAAAAGATGAGCAAAAGGAAGTGAAACACATGTCCAAAACCAAAAATTATATGACCTATGTTTTGGAACATCATGAATGTATCCCTGCTTACTAAATTCTGTATAAATAAACACTCTGGCTGCTAGTCAGTCAGGCTGCAAGATTCTCCCAACCATGGCCTGGCTCACTTCATTCCCCTGCTGACTCCTTACATCCTCTGCAGGACCCATCCACCACCGGGAATGGCTCCTGGCATTCCAGTATGTGGTCAATTTTGGAGAAAGTTCCATGAGCTGTTGAGAAGTATGTTCTTTAGTGTTTGAGTGGAATGTTCTGTAGATATCTGTGAGGGCCATCTGATTTACAGTATTTAGTTCCAGCATTTCTGTTTAGTTTTTTTTCTGGATGACCTATCTATTGGTAGGAGTGGGATATTGAAGTCACCCAGTATTGTGAGGGTCAGTATGTGATTTTAGCTGTAATACTCTTTCTTTCATGAACTTGGATCTCCTTGTGTTTCACACACATAAATGTTTAGAATTGCAATATCCTTTTGGTGGATTTTTCTTTGAGTATGTAGTATCCTTCCCTATCTCTTCTGACTAGTTTTGGTTTGGTCTATTTTGTCAGATATTAAAATGGTTACACCTGCTTGCTTTTTTGGGTCCGTTTGCTTGGAATACCTTTTCCATCCTTTCATTCTATAGTAATGTCCATCCATGATGGTGAGGTGTGTTTCTCAGATGGATTCTGTTCTCTATCCAACCTCTTAGTCTTTGTCTCTATATTTGGGGAATTAAGATCATTGAGTTATTAATGAGCAGTATTTATTGATTCCTATTATTTTGTTGTTATAGTGTGCCCCCACCCCATTTTTTACTTACTATTCTGGGATTGTTTATTCCTGTTGTCTTCTTGGTGTATGTAGTTGAAGTTTTCCTACTAGTGCCTTCTGTAGAGCTGGATTGGTAGATTACTTACTTAAATTTGGTTTTCTCATGGAACATTTTCTTTCTTCATTGATTGTAATCAATAGTTTTGGGGGGTATAGTAGTCTGGACTGGCATCTGTAGTCTCTCAGAGTTTGCAGAACATATATGCAAGTCTTTCTGGCTTTCAGACTCTCCATTGGAAAATCAGGGGTTATTCTAATGGGCCTGCCTTTATATGTGACCTGGTCTTTTCCCCTGCAGCTTTTCATATCCTTTCCATCTTGTGTAAATTTAATGTTTTGATTATTATGTGCTGTGGGTAATTTGTTTTCTGGTCCTGTCTATTCAGTGTTCTGTACACTTCTTGTACCTTAACCAGCACCTCCTTCATTACACCGGGGACATTTTCTTCTATGATTTTTTTAACAAATATTTTCTGTGCCTTTGACCTGGGTTCTTCCCCTTCTTCCATACCACCTATTATTCATAGGCTTTGTCTTTTTTTAGAGTCCCAGATTTTCTGGCTATTTTGTGCCTTGTTTTAAGGTCACATTTTCTTTG